ACAAAATATACAAAATAGGGGGAATATTTATTCAAAACAGTCAAAATATTACAAAAAATATCCCCAAAATTTCCAAAATTTACCCTCAAAATGATCAAAAATCGTGTAACTTTGCAGAAATCGGTGGATATGATGAGTTTAAAAAGTTTACAGAGACGATTGATTTATATGAGTCGAAAAAAAAAATAAAATGCCCTTGGGGTTTCTATTCGAATTACACCACTGAAAGTTTAATCGAATAAAACAAGTAACTCGAATGGAACAAATGGAACGAATAAAAAAATAATTCAAATATAACGAACAAAATGAATAAAGCGGATAAAAGAATAACACAGAAAAACGAACAAAATGAATAATTTGAATAATTCGAATAAGAATTTGTATTACTATTACTATTACTATCACTATCACTATTACTATTACTATTACGAATAGAAATTCTAAATCATACAAATTTTGTATGAATATGTAACGATCAAACCTATAACAGACCAGCTGTATCTAAACATAGCATTATTATTATGTATGAAATGGATGAAATTCCAATTCTAATTTTGGACATGATTTAAAAATTATAGACTATGTATGTATTTAGAAACAGGATCCTTCCAGCATTTCTACTTTGCAACACATTCACTAAAAACAAGCTACAAGTTATTATAATTTTTTTGTGAAGTTAATATATATATAATTTACATAATTAACAAGTTTAGAATGTCTGATCAAATGTAAACTGAAAAACCAATACAATCAACTTAAAGTTTTTATTTTATAATAAATTAGTAAAGTAGTAAAAATTCAAGATATTTTGTTTTTCTATCTCCTCTTCATCAACAAATCAACCTTTATATACAGTAATTATATATTTAATCAAATATATATAATTCAATCAATTGATAATAAGAATGGTAAGAATAATTCTAAAAAAATGAATTTAACAATCATATATATATTATTATTATTAATTAAAATCTTTTGTACTGATAAAGAAAAATTAATAGAAAAAAACAATTTATTATTGTTATTAATTTTGAGGAGGTAGTTGTGGACCATCATATTTCGTGGATTGTTGTATGGATGAATTTGTTACTAATGGGTATTTTATTACTGAACCTTGTGATATTGGATTATTACCATCATTATCATCATCACCATCATCATCATCACCATCATTATCATTATCATCATCATCATCATCATTATCATCATTATCATCATAAATCACTTGATTTGTTGTAGACATATTGGTATGTGTTTGATCTATTGCAATATTATTTAAACTTGGAGTACTTCTTTCTAATCTTGATTGTAAATCTGGATCCATAGTATTAGAAACTTGCTGTAAATTTGAGATTGGAGGAAGTGATTGATTAGCCAATATTAATTGTTGTAATAATTGTTGCTGTAGTAATTGTTGTTGTAGTGTTTGAAATTGTTGTGGCTGTTGTTGTTGTTGCAATAATTGTAATTGTAGTAATTGTAATTGCTGTTGTTGAATCAAATCAGGTGGACTATTTATTTGTGGTGTGATACCAAAATTACCAAAATTATTATTATTATTGTCATTGTTGATATCATTACCATATGTTGAATTTGTAGCTGGTGTTGGAGTTGTTGAAGGTGGTGTAGTAATCGTTGGTAAAGCTTGTGATGCAGGGTTTGTAGGATCAATATATAGCATTGAAAGTGGACTAATATTGTTTTTGTTGTTGAGGTTGTTATTTCTATTAAGCAAACTGTAAATAGAATTATGATTTGAAGGGCTTTGACTATTTGGTGTTGTTGTGGAAATACTTCTCATAAAATTATCATTATTATTAATTTGACCTTGAGAAGAAGAAGGAGGGGGAGGAGGAGGAGAAGGAGGAGGAAGAGATGTCATTTGTGTGCTACGAGCTGATGATGAAGCATCATTAAAAGATGATGGTAATTCTTGTGCATTCTTTTTTTGTCTATTTCTACAATATAAAAGGAAACCACCAATTAATGCAGCAATAATCAAAGAAAAACCAACTGAAACCACAATTGCTAGAATTGTTGTAGGACTAAGCACTGAGTTTAATGTTGATGTTGATGATGATGATGATGATGGTGATGTTGATGATGCTGATGGTGCTGCTGATGATGTTGATGGTGGTGGAACATTTGGTGATGTTGTTGGTGACGTTGTTGGTGATGATGGTGGTGCTGTTGATGGTGGTGTTGCTGGTGGAGCATTTGGTGAAGCTGTTGGTGATGTTTTACTGCTAGGAGGTAGACCAGGAAATGATTTTACCCATTTGTAATCAACTATATTAAGTATTTGAATTGAATTACTTGTTTTAACAGGTGGCCCAGCATTATTTGTTATATTACCTAAGGTACATAAATTATTTAAAATACATACATATGTACATACATTTATTATCATTGTTATTTTTATTAATTAATTTATTTATTTACCAAATGTTACCACCATATAATCTCCAATTAAGTTTGCATGATGGTTTGTGAGTGGGTTGATAGGAATTTCTGGTGTTGTTACTGGAGGTGTGATCCATTTAAAAGGTTTTGTAGTTGTGTCTAACACAACTAATTCAGGAGTAGGTGTTAGTTCTGATTCAGGTGTAGTTCCACCATAGACTATTATTTGACCATTAGCAGCTAAGAAATAAATATATAAAATGAAAGATTTTTTTTAAATGATGATAAGAAACAAACAAATAATAAATATTATTATTTACCATATACAGCTGTATGTCCAATACGGGAATTAACAGTTGGACCACCAACTATAGTCTGATAAATACAAATAAATGATTAATATATTTTCCAATTAAAATAAATTTCTTGTATTAAATTAATAATTACCATTAAATCCCAAGTATCAGCTTTAGTATCATATAATGTAAGCTTTTTTTAAATAAATAATAAATTAATATTAAATTAATAACTACACATTTTTTATTAATCATTATAATTATTATTTATTACCTTATTCATGGGAACTGCAGTTAGATCCTCTGTAGTAATAGAGTAATCTCTTCCACCAATAAAAACAATTACTCCATTAGCAATCAATACAGCAGCATGGTCAACTCTAGGAGGTGGGATATTTAGACCAGTTTTTCCAATTTGACTCCAGGATAAATTATTTCCATCCAGAATAAAAAAGTCTTTAAAAAAAACACTGGTAGTAACTTTCATATCATTTACTCCACCATGAATATATAATTTGCCAGTCAATGGATCACTAACACTTGCAAATCCTCTACGTCTTTCAGGTGCCATTCCTTGAAAAGCAGGTGGGTTTACTAACCATTGGTTGTTTTTAAAATCATGGGTGTAAACCACACTTTTCAAATTATATTCACCAGTTACAGTATCATACATACGACCACCAAATAAAAATATTGTATCATTATTAGTGTTGGAACTAGCTTTAGCCCATGATGCAAATACTGGCAATGGTGAAGTTTCAGTTAAATCCTTCCATGGTGGAGTTGTTGCATCAAATGTTTGTGATAAATCAAGAGAAAAAAAATCTTTTGATGCTTGATCATTAGAGTCACCACCACCCATAACATATAAATTATTGTTAACAATAACAGCAGCATGTACATATCTTGGGTCAGTTGGAGTTGAACTTACCACTAAAAATAAGCATTTGAGCAAGATTAAAAATATTAAAAAGATGTTCATTATGTTTAATTAGATTGATTCAACTATAAAGTTAGAAAAAAAAAGACTACATTTTTATTGACTGTTATATACTGTATATTCAAAATCAAATTTTTAATTTGTAAAATAGTAGTAACAAACGAATTCGTTAATTTAACTAAATTTGTTGGATTTTCATCATAATATGTGGTGTTTTGTTTATCAAATCGTATTTCAAGTGTAGAACTGGAATTTTCCTTTCTTCCTCAGCTACATTCACTAAAAGGGATGCTAGAAAAGCATAGGGTGCAGGGATCTGCAAAATTCGCCTGTCCGCATATTAATATTGCCTATGCCACTCGCCTGTCCTTTTCTAGATTTGATTATGATGGTGAAAAGCACAGGGGACAGGAACCTGCAAAAAAAAATTTTTGATGGCGGTTCTTTATTTTTTTTTTTCGATATACTATTAATACATAAAATAAATAATAATTTATTTTTTATATTTTTTCTAATTCTACTACTGCAATGAACTATAGAAGTGTCAATTTTAGGTCTAGTGAAATATAATATATTATCATGTAATAAAATAGTTGCGAGTTGCAATGAATTAATTAATTTTTATATTTTTTATTATATGAATCAGGTTCAGACTCCTTTTGAATTGTTTCATCATCTTCACCTTCATTGTTAGTATTGTAATATTGGTGACCTTTATCCGAAAAATATTCAATTACTAGAAAAAATGCATGATATATTAAAATCATTTGATAAGTGACAGGAAAATCATGTATTTTTTATAGAAATTCTATTCCTGAAAGAGTTTCTCCATTTGGAATTTTTATATTATATCTAGTAAAGTTTCTGCAAATAGATGTTATTATTTATTTGTTTATTAATTAATTATTTTATTGATTATTTATTAATTAATTAATCATTCTAATACTAACTTGCTTTGTTATTAGAATAAATAGAGTGACTATTAGAATCCTTTAATCTATAAGCAACCAATGAAGTTTGTGGTTTATTTCCTGATCAGGAAGTCAAATCTTTCGATTCTAATACTGCCATTCCTTCATTTAAGTCATCATATTTATAAACACCACTTTGATCATTAAAGCTTCGAATTACTTCATTGTAAAAATGTGTCAATATATATTCTATAGGAATGTTATTTTCTTCATAACAAAGCTGAAAAGGGAAGTCTAATTGATGAGATGAATTATAATTTTGGCCATCTCTTTGAGTTATTTCAAATATTAAGGTATGTGGCCAAAAGATTATATATTCTTCATAGGATATTTCTTGATTAATACATTGATAAAGATTTCCATGGTTATAAGGACAAGGTTGATCTGGAATATTTTACTAATTAGTTGATTCTTTTCTGCAAATAATGCAGAGACTTGACCTATTATTAGATTTGGATTATCTTCAAAAAAAGAGCTACCAAATTCATCAATTCCATTTATTGGAAATAGTGGTTTAATAGGTGTTGAGCAATTTTGATTTACATGACCATACTCATAATCCAAGGACACAAAATTGTGACATAAGCTTTGTTGATTCTTTTTCTTCTAAAATAATATTTTCAAACAATGAGTTAATGATCCAAATTGGTTTTCTTGCCATTTTTTTTCTAGAACATGGTGATGAACAATTTCACAAGCTTCATTAAAAGTAGATTTTTAGTTCCTGGAGTATTGACAGTGTCTCAAATGGTAAAACCTGTATATAATTTTTTTAGTCCAGAGTTACTTGGAATTACCCCAACATTAGTTGTCCACCACATAGTTGTATGAAGATAATTTGTATATAATAATTCTAAGAATGAGGTAATATAACATGAACTTCT